ACAGGCTCTGACTATCTAGCCTAGGCTGTCCTTGAACTCTAGATACTGCCGAGCGCTGGGATTGATTACAGGTGTGCCAAAATTCACGACTTGTTGTCTTCTCTCCCTCCATTGTAGGGATATAAGAATCGGATTCCAGCTGGGCGTTGGTGGAGCACGCCTTTAATCCCAGCACTCGGGAGGCAGAGCCAGGTGGATCTCTGTGAGTTCGAGGCCAGGCTGGGCTGCCAAGTGAGTTCCAGGAAAGGCGCAAAGCTACACAGAGAAACCCTGTTTCGAAAAAACAACAAAAAAAGAGAGTCAGATTCGGTTGGGACTCTTTTTTTGTTTTGTTTTTGTTTGTTTGGTTTGTTTTTTTTGAGACAGGGTTTCTCTGTGTAGCTTTGCGCCTTTCCTGGAACTCCCTTTGTAGACCAGGCTGGCCTCGAACTCACAGCGCATGCCTTTAATCCCAGCACTCGGGAGGCAGAGGCAGGTGGATCTCTGTGAGTTCGGTTGGGACTCTTAATCGGACTGTATACCATATCGAACGTCTTTTCCGATAACCACTTTTGAAAAAGAACTAAACAACAGGTGAAAGTAATATTAGCCATAGACTAACCCAGTATTCCTAACTGGTTACATTTAAACGCGTCATCAATATCAATAGGGGAGCTCTCATCTTTGTCCCCCCCCCCCTCTATGTCTTCACCTTCTGGAGTGTCCTTGACACAGGACCTGGACATTTCAAACGCTTCACAGCCATGTGTGGCCAGGGCGACTGTTTCAGGCAGGGCTGTGGGGGATGCATGAGAAATGAGAAGTCTCTGGGTGTCACTCCAAGGGGCCTTGAAAGGCCAGGTCACTAGCAGTCACCAGCTCCCCAGGGCGCCCTCCCTGGCGGGCTCCCAGACGACCTAGCTAGCCCGGCGCTCAGAGCGCCCCCAGCCCTCCGGCAGGGGCGGGGTTCCAGGGCCGGGTCCCGCCTCCCGCCCGCTGGGCCGCCTCCTCCGCCACCGCCGCACCGCCACCCGGAGCCGGGCCGCCAGCCAGGCCGGGCCGGGTCGCCATCATGCTGAGCCGGCTCGGGGCACTGCTGCAGGAGGCCGTGGGGGCGGTGAGCCCGGGCCCGGGGCGGACCGGAGGGGAGGGCGCGGGCCGGGAGGGGGGGGGGCGGGTGGCTGCGGGCTCCTTGGGCACGGCCCCTCCCCGGGCCCCGACGCTGCTTCCGGGCCTCTGTCTCCGGGTCGTGTCTATTATAGTCCCGGCCGCCCAGGAGCACCTAGCTCCGGGATTCTCTCCAGACCGACCGACCGGCTCCCTCGATCTTGCTCCCCGCTCTGGTGATCCTATGCTCTCGGCTCTTGTGATCCTGAGCCACGCTCCCCTGGTTCGGAGGACGGATCCCTTGATCCTGCCTCCGCGCTGCTTCCTGCTATTCTTCCTGCGCCCCGCTCCTCTGATCCGGCTCTCTCTCCGTAGTGCTCCTTGTTACGTTTCCTGCGCCCGAGAGCTAGCTTTCTAACTCTGCTCTCCCCAGACGCTCCCTTGTCACCAGCCCGTTCCTCCCGGATCTGCCCCTCGCCTCCTCCCCAGCCCCTGTCAGCCTCCTTCCTCATTCCTGTCGCTCCTCCATTCCTCCTCACCTGGGACTGAAAACAGCCTTCCCCGTCCCCTCTTCGGTGCTAGAGAATTCCCGCGACCAGGAGTTCGTGCACTGAGTTCCCTCTTTGTCAGCCAGGGCATGGGAGTTGGGGCCCTGAGTGACTAAGTCCCCAGGAAGGTGATAGAGAGCCTTGCAGGGGCGGGTGGTCCCGGGATCCCGGAAGCAGCCCTCTGCAAGACCCTTAATCTCAGGCCACTGGTCGCAGCTGACTTTGAGTTAGGGAAGGTCAGCCTGCCTGAGGGTTGACCTTTTTACAACTGTCAGTTTGTGTTTGGGCCATTTTCTGGGAGTGCAGGTCCCTGACAGGCCACTGTGTGTGGATCACCTCATTCAGCAGTCTTGCACGAAACCATCTGGAAAGTTAATTATTTTTTCTCATTATATAAGAGCACCCTCTAATTGATATGTTTAGTCTATCAAATTGTCTCTAGAGAAACACTTTTTGGGTTTGACTCCCCTTCTTTCTCTGCACCTCCTCCCCAGTCAGAGCATTTACTGCTGTGTGTGTGTGTGTGTGTGTGTGTTTGGGACAGGGTTTCTCTGTGTCATCCTGGCCGTCCTGGAACTACTCTGTAGACCAGGCTGGGCTTGAACTCACAGAGATCCACCTGTCTCTGCTTCCCAAGTGCTGGGATTAAAGGTGTGCACCACCACTGCCTGGCTATTACTGTTATTAAAACTGGCTCAGCCTTAGAAAAGCTGGTAGGGGAGAGGGAGACACATCTGTAATCTACCTTCCCCAGCACCCCCATCCTGCTCTGTCCTGAGGACCAGGGTCTAGGGTACCCCAAGAGGGAGAGTTTCCAAAATGACCCTTTCTTCTCCTTCCTGTCCCAAATAAAAACAACTGTCCTTTTAGAACGTGATCTAATAAACTAATTGATACTTCTGGACACAGCTCGATTTACAAGGAGGGTTGGAAGGGTGGACAGTCCTAAACTTCCTTGATCCTTACACTCTGAATGCAAAAAGCTGAGCACTAGGGGCTGAAGATGCAGAGTGGAGGGAGGGACGTATTTTTAGGCAGGTGACCTGCAGTGTACATCATATAGACCATTGTCCTGGAAGTGTGATTTATACCACACAGGACTCCCTCTGTTCAGTTTCACCCACTGGCGGGGTTGGGGGGGTGGGGGGGGTGGTAGTGTTAGGTTTTCCCTCAGGTGGGACCACCAAGTCATTATGACCCAGAGTGCTTCTTCTTTCTGCCCCCTCCTGGCAGAACAGAATTAGAAACCCTCATGGCTCTTTCTAAAAATACTGCTATCTTTTAGCGTTACTTTGGTCTGGTATCTAGTAGTAGATTCAGGTGGAGATTTGGGCCCTGTTTCTTTTGTCCACCAGGTTTTGATGGCTGCCCTGCCTTCCCTGGGTCTCCTGTTCTTATGTGAATAGCCCCCCCCCCCTTTTTTTTCCATGAAGTTTGGCCCAGGGATTTTGGAACTCATAGATGAAATTTGAGGCTAGAGGAGACCCTATCACAGAAACTGTGAGGTCATTGGGGTGCTGGCCAAGGCTCCAAGGACTTTCCAGGACAAGAAAGTATGACAGAAGTGTCTTCAAGAGCTCCCTAAGAGTTGGTAAAAGCCCTTCTGGGGTTTACAGTTAAAAACCAGCCCTGGCCGCTGGGAAGCTCAGTCTATCAGAACCTGACTCAGTGTTACATGTAAGAGCGTGATGAGTTAGGTCACTCCTTGTGGATGGGGTATGTTATTATTGCATTTCTTTAGTATATATGTGTTTGGGGGTGTGCCACAAGCAGGCACGCGGAGGTCAGAGGTCCTGGGACTCAAACTCAACAGTAAGGTCTTTAACACGAGCCGTCTTACCGTCTGGGGTGGAGTGTCTTGAAGGACTGGGCAGTGCCTTTCTGGAAGACTCACTGACCCCGCATCTAATTTATTTTAGTGTTTTTTGAGACAGGATCCCTCTTTATAGTTCTCACTGTCCTGGAACTTGCTTTGTAGACCAGGCTGATCTTGAACTCACAGAGATCCTGCCTCTGCCTCCTGAGTGCTGGGATTAAAGGCATGTTGCCACCACACCTTGCAACTACTAATTTTGAAAGAGTCTGCTGCCTGGATGGAGGGTGGGGAGTGCCTCAAAGTCTCTGACTGGTCCCATGTGGGTCCTGTGTCACGCGCCCCCCCCACCCCCCCACCCGCTTTGCCCTGGCCAGCTAAATACCTTCCTGCCTGTGTCTCCTCTTTTGTCTGACACTGCCAGATAGATCTTTCCAAAACATTCCTCTGGAGGTGGCACTGGCCTTGCTGCCTTAAAAAAGCAACAACAACAAAACCCAGAACAGCCTTCTTGGCTTGGCCCGGGAGACCCACACGCCACATACACCCTTTCCCCTGCTGCACTCTGCCCAATTTTTTCTGCTAGGAACATCTTCCTTGCGCAGCTGAAATTTGATCCCCTTGGAGTTTTTAATTCTTTGGCAGGATCTTGAAAGGAACTTGTTAGTGGCCCCTCTAAAGATTTACTGTTTTTGCCTGGTGGTGGCAGCGGCGGCGGCGGCGGCGGCGGCGGCGGCGGCAGCGTACCCCTTTAATCCCAGCACTCGGGAGGCAGGCAGATGTCTGTGAGTTCGAGGCCAGCCTGGTCTACAGAGCAAGTTCCAAGACAGCCAGTGCTACACAGAGAAACCCTGTCTTGAACCCCCCCACCCCACACACACACAAAAAAGGATTTATTATTTTTACTTTGTATATATGCCTATCTATATCACATGTGTGTGGGTTCCTGTGGAAGCTAGAAGAGGGTGTTGGATCCCCTGGTGCTGGAGTGACAGACAGTTGGGAAGCATCTGAGGTGGTTCTGGGAACCGATCTCATGTCCTCCTGAAGAGCCGCAAATGCTCTTTGCTGAGCCCTCTCTCTAGCCCCCAGAGGGGACTCCCTTTAAGAGGTCCCTGTCCACTTTGTATTCTTCTCTTGGTGGCAGCACATTTACTGGAGGCCGAGTTATCATTAGATGCTTGTGGCACGGAGCATGGCACCCGGCACCTAGGAGGTACTCACGAGATGTGTACCAAATGAATGACTGTAGAGGATGTCCTGCTCCGGACATGCCTGGTCCTTCACTGACCTCACTGTGGAGTCTTAGGGCTAGACAAGTGTAAAGGAATGATGGGCCCCAGGACATTGTGGCCTGGGCAGAGAGAGACCTAGAGGAAATAAACACCCAGGGTAAGGACTGTGGATACATTTCTGTCCTGTTAACAATTTTTTCCTTTTTTAAAAAAAAAATAATTTTTTTCTGCATTTCATAAAAATACTGTATTTAGATCATTTCTACCCCTTACCCTCCCCCCACCAACTTTTCCTATGCCCCCACCCCCTCTCACATTCATGACCTCTTCTTTGGTTATTATTGTCACACACACACAGAGCTACCATTAACTGTCTACAGCTCTTTATCTGGGGGTGGGACCTTTTGAACTTTCCCCTGCTTCTGTGTTGGCATGCCAACTGATGTTGTCATTGTTCAGGTCTTGATTAGGTGACCATACCGTTGGGATTTCCTGGGCGCAGCTTCCCTGTCCTATAGAAGACACTATCTGGCAGCAGATGTCCTGGTCCTCTGGCTCTTCCCATCTTCCCACCCCTCTTCTTCGGTGTTCCCCGAGCCTTAGGTGTAGGGGTATGTCATGGATGGATTAATCAGGGCTGTCGTTCTCTGCCTGTGAACATTTACCGTACGGGGAAAGAGGATGCTTTCAGGACAATTACTCACCCTCAGTTCAAGGCCAGTTTCAGCTAGAGTGCCTAGAGGGAGAGAATACTTCTGGGGAGGGGGAGCTGAGGGGCTTGCAGAGAGCAGTGTGAGAAGTCTCCAGGGTGATGAGAGGAGGTGGCAGGAGTTAGGGGTGCAGACCATGGCCTGGCACAGAAGACGGAAGCACTCCATAAGTAAAGCATCTCCTTTGTAGAGTGTAGAAGTGTTCACCGTCTGAACAGAGCCTGCCATGGCCTTGGACATAGGCCGTTAGACTCTGGCAGGGCCCGAAAACTCTCCCCGTGTGTGTGCTGTTCCCATCCTCTTTCTTCTCAGGTGCCCTGTGTGGTTGGCAGTCTCTCTGTTGTAGTATGTGTGGGGTTTGGATTGTGCAGAAGTACTTCTGTCTCTTCCTCCTTCAGCATGCTTACTTCTTGGGGACAGAGCCTGTGGGATGGGGACATGTGGGAGAGAGAGTCCTCTGGGGAGACGATGATGCTGTGTGCTGGAGAAATGAATGACCCTTCCCTTTGAAAAGCTGGGAACAGAGTGCTTTCTCTAGGACCTAGAGCTCACCCACCTGGACACTGAACAGGCACGTGGGCTTCTGGTCCCTTGAGTACCGGTGGTAGTGGGGCCTTGGTTGGCACACTCACAAAGACCATGTCTACTCTGTCTGCAGCGGGAGCCCAGCATTGACCTGCTGCAGGCCTTCGTGGAGCACTGGAAGGGTATCACACACTACTATATCGAGAGCACAGGTAAGCCTTCTGCTCCCCAGCCTGGGACCCAGGGGGGAGCTGGGAAGAGTGGGCAGAGAGTGACCACAGGTGTCTTAGGAAGGTGACGGCAGGGTCCTGGACAACAGGACATCTCTGGGCCGAGCCAGGGAGACAGGTGGGAGCAAAACCCAGAGCCCTAGCCACTGCGGGTCTTCATGGTTAAATTGTTGGCGCCACCTCACTGGCCTGACTGCATGGTAAAGGTGGCCCCATTTGCTTTAGTTTCCAGCTGGATACAGTCCCTAGGCCTTCAGTCCCAAGTGCTTGTCACTGGGACTGTTGATTAGAGGAAATGCAGCAGGGCTTGGATGTAGCTTAGTTGGTAGAGTGCTTGCCTAGCGCAGAGATCTGTGTTCAGTCCTCAGTGCATAAACCAGGTGATGGTGCATGCCTGTAATCAAGTGCAAGAGGATCAGAAGTTCAAGGTCACCCTGGGATACATGAGACCTTGTCTTGGAGAGAGGGTCGGGGAGAGGAGAAAGATGTTCAGTAAATTATTTTGCCTTAGCCACCCTAAGAAGTCCAAGTAGGAAAGCTAAGGTGTGGCACATGCCTGGGTCCCCTTTTCTCCTAGCTGACGTCTCCGAGGGCCAAAGCATTCATGCATTAACCCACCATAATGACTCAGTGAGGATCAGAATCTGATTGGCTGCTTTGTAGTCAATTAAGCCTGGTTGCCGGGTAACTAGTCCTGTATCCCTAGTTTTCCACCTCCCTGAGTTCAGACCATGTCTGGGCCTATGACTTTCCTGGAGGCTTTCTTTCCATCGTGAGCCAGCCCATGGAATTCAAATGGCCTTTGAGCACTTTGGGGGAGCCTTGGAGGACTGTTTAGACCAGGCCTCCTTCGTCTTGGCACATGCGGAGACTGGACTGTTTGTGTTGAAGGGGGAGTAACTGTGCTGTCTGGCCTCTCTCTCAACTGTGACAACCATACATGTCTCTAGACACTGACGAATGTTTTGGGGTGGGGGAATTTCTTCCCAGTTGGGAGCCACTCTTTTAGACTAAAAATCATATGCTATACGTCTCTCTCCGTATTGGGGACTGGTTGAACCCAGGGCAGTCCTCCCCACCCCGTCCCCCACTGAGCTACATCCCTCAGCCTTTTTTACTTTTTATTTCGAAACAAGAGCTCACTCAATTGTCTAAGCTGGCCTCAAACTCACTCTGTAGCCCAGGCAGGTCTTGAACTGTCAATACTTCTGCCTCACCAGCCCTCCTGAGAAGCTGAGATCACAAGCCTGTGTCACCAAGGCCACCCTAAAGCCTGGAGTCTTCCGACTCACCTGGGTCTTTCTGTGCAGCTGGGCCCTTCATTTCCAGAGTGGGCTCTAGACCAGAGTTATAGGGAGAGGGTGAAGCAAGCTCCTTGCTTAATGGCTTATGCCTTAAAGGAAAGCTAGGGGGTGCTCCAGGGCCACTTGGAAAGCTCTCTAGGGAGGTGCCAGGTGCAGCCGCAGACTCCTGACTGGCAGGTTGTCTCTTTTCCTCTGACTTCCCTGAATGGAAAAGGGATAAGAGCAGGCCCTAGGAGACGCTAGGAAGGAAGCTGCTGAAACGTAGCCTGGACAATCACAGGACAGACTCCATAGCTGCTCACTTAAGCCTGGACTAGATAGGCAGCTCTCAGAACATCTCCTGTGGACCCATGTCCTCCTGGGGGCCCATGAGGGGTCCCTGTTCTCACTTTGGTACACCCGCAGTGGCACACTGGGGCAAACACACACTGTCAGTCAACAGGCTGTGTCCTGGGCCTTATCCCTACCACTTTTGTCTTTTTAAAATCCACAAGTATCAACTGTAAACTTCCATGGTGGCCCTCAGTCCGTCTCAGGCGTGACTTCCTTCTGGGCTTGGCGTGAGAGGGTCTGGCGCTCTTCATGTCACCTACCCTTGTGTCTTGACTCTTGATTAGACGAAAACACCCCAGCCAAGAAAACAGATATCCCCTGGCGGCTGAAGCAAATGCTGGACATCCTGGTGTATGAAGAGAGGCAGCAGGTATCCTCTGGTGAGGCCGGACCCTGTCTGGAATACTTGCTACAGCACAAGATCCTCGAGACCCTGTGCACTCTGGGCAAAGCGGAGGTGGGTATGCTCCTGCGGCATCTGGAAATTTCTACCCCAGGCAAACCCTTATTCCATGCTCTTCTGTCTGTGCTTCTCTGCCTTGATGGAGCAAGTACTGTGGCTGTGTTACTTGGAGTAGCCCACCCCATCACTCAGCAGAGAGGGACCTGCCACTTTGTGGAGTCTGTTCTAGATGCTAGGTGCTGGGAATTGAGGGACAGGATAGTCACACACAGTGGGCCCTTGGTATCCCGGAGGATTGGTCCTCGGACCCCGCCACCCCTCCGCTCAGATCCAGAATCTGTGGCTGTTCAAGTCCTTTATATAAAACGGGATCTCGTGCCCAGCAAGATGGTTCTGTGGGTAAAGGCAGTTGCTGGCAAGCCTAACGACTTGAATTCAGTTGCTGGGATCCACATGGTGGGAGAGAGCTGCACATTGTCCCTTGACCTCCCCGTGTGCAACGTGGCATATGTGTGTGAGTGCATACACACATAAATAAGTAAATAAATAAAATAAAATTTTAAATAGGGTTCAGAAAGAGCCATGGATAGAGATGGATGATGGATAGGTTGGTAGATGACAGATACCTAGGGATGACTGTAGTTAACATACACACTCTTCTGTGCCTTTCAATCATCTCTAGATGGCTTATAATTAATAAATGTAAGTGCTATGAAACTCATGATGCTACAATAATTAGGTAATAAGAAAAAGGTCTGTACATGTTTTGAATATTTTTGATCTGAGGCTGATTGAACCCATACGTACAAAACCAGTGGATATGGACGGAGGACCAGCTGTACTGGGTTCAGTAATGACCCGGTCATGAAAGGAATTAATTCAGGAAAGGGAATGGGGAAGGTAAAGGGAAGGACTGCTTTACACACTGTGTGGAAGAGGCCTCCCAGAGAAGAAGGCCTCTGAGCCATGACTCAGGAGGCATGGAATCCTGTGGCCCTCTGGAGAGGAGTATTTCAGGCTGGTGGCTGAAGCCTCACCTCTGACAGTATGCTGTGTCTCAGTACCCTCCAGGCATGCGACAGCAAGTGTTCCAGTTTTTCAGCAAGGTCCTGGCCCAGGTCCAGCACCCACTGCTACACTATCTGAGTGTCCACAGGCCTGTGCAGGTGAGGACCCAGGAGACGTGGGCTGTCTGGGCATACGGCCTCCTTTTCCCAACACCCCACTCTTCTGGGTTTCTTCCCCATTCTTCCTTTAGAAACTTCTCCGACTGGGTGGGGCAGGCCCTGGATCCCTCACGGAAAAGGAAGAAGTTCAGTTCACCAGTGTCCTCTGCTCTAAGATCCAGCAGGATCCAGAGCTGCTCGCCTATATTCTGGAAGTAAGTGCTTTTGTGGGGGAACAGGGTGTGGTGCAGAGGCAAGCCCTCCCGTCCTTGCTGAGGAAGCAGGAGAGGATGGTGCTCACAAGCACTCAAGGATGAAGCTCAGTTGTTGTTTTTTTAAACCCACTCTGCATTTTTTTGTTGCATTTTGAACTTTTTTTTTTTTTGGCTGAGGTGGTGGTGGTGGTGGTGGTGGTGTCTCATACAGCCCATGCTGACTTCAGACACACTGTGTAGGAGTCAAGGGTGACCTTGAACTTCTGACCCCCCAGCCTCTATCTCACTAGTATTGTTATGGTCATGTACCACTGTATCCAGTTTATGGGGTGGTGAGGATAGAACCTAGGGCTTCACATGTTCTAGGCAAGTACTATATACCAGCTGAGCCATACATATCCCCAGCTCGTCTTGACCTCTGCATGTGAGTGCGTGCGTGCATGCCTGCCTGCGTTTAGGTCAGAGTGAAACTGTGGAGTCGGTTCTTCCACTTTTACACGGGTCTGGGTCTAGGGATTGTACTGAGGTCCCCAAGCCTCCTGTAGCAAATGCCTTTATTAGATGAGCCATCTGGTTGGCACCCATTTTGGTTGGCTTTTTTGAGACAGGCTTTCTCTACATATACATCCGAGGTTTGGCCCAATCTCACAATCCTCCTGCCTCAGCCTCCCAAGTTCTGGAATTACAGTATGTACTACATGATGCCTGGCAAGACACACAGCAGACTGTGTAGCCCAGGCCGGCCTTGAACTTGTGATCCTCTTCCCTCTGCCTTCCAAGATTACAGCAGTGCTCCACCACACCTGGCTCTTACCCTGCACTCTCAAGGAAGCACCCTGTGGGATGGAGTGCTCTCTCTGACCTTGGCCTCACCGCACCCTTCTTTGCAGGGTAAAAAAATTATAGGCAAGAAGACACCCAGAGAACCTACAGCTCTGCCTGAAGACATGACTGGCTCCAGGGACAAGGACTGTCCCCGTAGTGACGCTCCCGGCAGGGATCCTGGACTGGATAGGGAGCACTGTGGTGTCCCAGCCTTGAGCAGCCACCTGCCTGCTGAGACTGAGGGGCCAGACAATGGGCCTGGGGAGAGCAATCTCATCACCTCCCTGCTTGGACTGTGCAAGAGCAAGGTCTGGCCGCAGAGATGGCGGGTGGGGGGGGGGGGAGAGAAACCCTGTCTCAGACATCATCTCCCCATCCCCTAGAAGAGTCGGGTGGCCCTGAAGGCACGGGAGAATGTATTGCTGCTGGTAAGCGTGGCCTCGCCAGCAGCCGCCACCTACCTGATACAAAGCACTTCCTGTTGTGTGGTGGTAGCCGAGCACCTCTGCCAACTGTACCGGTCCATGCCTGCCTTCCTTGACCCGGCAGACATTGCCACTTTAGAGGGCATCAGCTGGAGGTGGGTCCCCGGCCTGGGGAGACTGGGAAATACCTTCAGGGGCTGGTAGTTACACAGAGTAGGCAGCCTTGCTAGCAACCTTCTCCTGGGCGGGAGAGCCAGTCCCTAGGGTCCTTCCCAGCCTCCCAGAAGCCTCACTTCTGCAATCTGAGCACAGCAGAGGTTCTAGATGGAGGGGGAATCAGCTCCCGGATGTCCTTCAGGAAGGCCTGGAAGCTTTGTGTTCATCAGCCAGACTCCTGCTTCTGTTTCTGTTAGGTTACCCAGTGCCCCATCTGATGAGGCCTCTTTCCCTGGCAAGGAGGCCCTGGCTGCCTTCCTGGGCTGGTTTGATTACTGCGACCACCTTATCACAGAGGCACACGCGGTGAGCAAGGGCAGGTGTGACCTGGGTTCTGTCCTGGCTCCCTTAGGTGTCTCATCTCAGTGATGGAGTAGAGCTGATGCACGGTGACTTGGGGCCAGAGGCCAGCTTGGCCCTGGGTTAGCCAGGCTCCTCTGACATATTTGGGGCTGTGTGAAGACACCGTGATTTTTTAGGAATGAATGTGATGGGGTGTGAATGGAGAAGACATGCTCTCTGGCTCCTAGGTGGTTGCAGACGCCTTGGCGAAGGCTGTGGCCGAGAAGCTGTTTGTAGAGACCCTGCAGCCCCAGCTCCTGCATGTGTAAGTGTCTGTTCAGTCCCTTGGCCATGGTCGGTATCTGGCCCACTCTACCAGACCTCTTCCCAGAACCAAGGTCAGGGGACTACCTGTTGATACTTGGCCGGGTCTAACATGCACATGGCTCTAAGCCCCGTGGGCTGGATGGAGAGCAGCCTCCCACCCCAACTCTAGGACCTCACGAGGGATGGGGAGGTAGCTAGAGATTTGCTAGGCTATAAAGGAAGGAAAACAAGAAAGGTTCTGCACCGCCACACCCATTCACACACACACACATGTACGCACGCACGCACGCACGCACGCACGCACCCTCCTCTGCTCTCCCCCTCTCCCTGCAGATCCGAGCAGACCATCCTGACATCCACTGCCCTGTTGACCGCCTTGCTGCGGCAGCTGCGCTCCCCCACACTGCTTCAGGAGGCCATGACCTTCCTCTTGGGCACTGACCAGCAGCCTGCAGCCACAGAGGACAGCCCCCATACTCTGGGCACACACCTCATCATGCACTGTGACCATCTCTCCGACGAGGTAAAGCAGAAGAGCCTTCATCCTAGCTTGCTCCACAGCCACCGTGGGGCTTCCAGAGGGTTCTCTCCTGGCTTTCTCCTACCTGCTCCAGGTAGCTCAGCCTCAGGCCTCCCTCAAGCCGAAGCAGTGGCAGTTTATGACGTGCAGCCATGCTGTCTTGGTCACTGTTTTCTGTCTGTTTTGCCAACTGCTTTTCTATTCATTCAGCTTTTTTGGAGACCTGAGCACTCTGAAGTAGTCCCATGTTTTCTAACACAGAAATGGAGGCACAGAGAAGCCATTGGGTTTGCCTGAATTGGCACATCAAACGAGAAATGGAACACTTCCTCTAGCCTCTGACCAACAAGGGAGGTGACCCCTGCCTTAGAGGACTTTGTCTGGCATTGGTTCTCAGGCATTGAGAAACCAGGAGGAGGGCAGCGGTGGTGGCCCACGCCTTTAATCCCAGCACTCGGGAGGCAGAGGCAGGTGGATCTCTGAGGCCAGCCTGGTCTACAGAGCGAGTTCCAGGATAGCTAGGGCTACACAGAGAAACCCTGTCGTGAAAGAGAGAGAAGCCAAAAGGGTGACAGGAGGGTCCCCTGCTGCGTTCTCTCACTCTAGATCAGCATTGCCACTTTGAGGCTGTTTGAGGAGCTGCTGCAGAAGCCCCACGAACGAGTCATCCGCAGTCTGGTCCTGCAAAACCTTGAGGGCCGCCTGTATGTGGCCCGGGGCTCGCCAGAGCCTGAGAACTATGAGGACACCCTGTAAGTGAAACAGGGAAGGAGGGAGGGAGGGAGGGAGGGTGGGTGGGTGCACACCACTCATCCAGCTGTTCATTGGTGCATGCTCGTCTCCCCGCCTGCAGAGATCTGGAGGAAGACCCCTACTTCACCGATGGCTTCCTTGATTCTGGCCTTCAGCCCTCCACAAAGCCTCCCTCGGCTCCTGCCACCAGTTCGGACGGCAGAACAGCGGTGACGGAGATCGTCAACAGGTGGGGAGGAGGTTAGGCAACTGGAGTCGCCTGAATTCGCTTCTGTCACTGGGGTCCTGCGAACAGCAGAGAGAGCAGGGGGAAACCTGGGGAGGCGCCTCCACACCTAGGCCCCTGTCTCTTAGCTTCCTTTGCCTGGTCCCTGAGGAAGCCAAGACATCAGCCTTCCTGGAGGAGAACGGATACGACACATACGTGCACGATGCCTATGGCCTGGTGAGTTAAGGTCCTGTGGCTCCCTCCTCTTCTAGGCTCTTCCATGTCCTGATACATCCCCGACCCCACACCGTTTTTATGGGGTCCCTCAACTAGGCCTTTCTGGGCCTACTCCTTCGACTCTTTCCCCCACTCTGCTTCAGTTCCAGGAGTGCAGCTCCCGTGTAGCCCCCTGGGGCTGGCCCCTGGGCCCAGTGCCCCTGGACTCTCACGAACCCGAAAGGCCCTTCTTTGAGGGTCGCTTCCTCCAAGTGCTCTTTGATCGCATGGCCCGGATTTTGGATCAGGTAGCCACAAAGACTATATGCCTAGGAGAGCTCCACGCTGGGCCTGGTGTCTTTCAGGAGAGTAGGGGCTGGTGACCAGGGTGGACCCCTCTTTGGTTCCTCAGCTCCACAGCCCCTTTACCTTTCCCCAGGCGGGAAGCCCTGTCTCGCCTGTTCTCCACACGCCCTAACATGCTCTGGCCCTCAGCCCCAGGGAATCCATGACATACACATATCACGTGAGTCTCCCACCCCCGCACACATTCACACCAGCCAGGCGCCTTGCTTGGGGAGTACAAAAATGCTCATCACCCCTTGCCAACATTCAGGGTTGTCCATCTCGTTTCCTACAGCCATACAGCCTGAACCTACAAGTGACCTCAGTCCTGTCCCGGCTTGCCCTGTTCCCCCACCCCCATATCCATGAGTACCTCCTGGATCCCTACATCAGCCTGGCCCCTGGCTGCAGGAGCCTGTTCTCTGTGCTTGTCAGGGTAAGGATGAGGGTGTGACGGGAGGGACCCAGCAGGGCAAGGGGTGGGAGTGGAGAAGTAGGCACCCGTACCGGGGCCAGGAATAGCGCAGGCTTTCCAATCCCATCTCTCACCTCCTATGGAATGGTGGAGCCAGGGGCAGCTGTGGGACACGGTCAGTTCTCACCTTAGTCCTTTCCCGACTCTAGGTGATCGGGGACTTAATGCAAAGAATTCAGAGGGTACCCCAGTTCCCGGGCAAACTGCTCCTGGTGCGCAAGCAACTGATGGGCCAGATTCCCGGAGAGCAGTAAGTAGACCAGGGAAATGGGTGCCCAGGATTGGGAAGGCGGCACTGAGGAGTCTCTCCTGGGTCAAGCCTTGTGGACATGGGCTGTCATGCCGTAGGCACACCTGCTGACTCCCAGCCATACCATCTTTCCCTCCCCGCCACTGTCTCTCCTCAGTCTGGACCATCAGACCCTACTCCAGGGCGTGGTCGTGCTTGAGGAATTCTGCAAGGAGCTGGCCGCCATTGCGTTTGTCAAGTTTCCCCCACATGGTCCTCACCTGAACTTCTCTCCACCCCCGGAAGGGCAAGTCTGAGCCAGGAGCATGATGGGCGGGGGAAGACGCCTGCCTGTACTTCTGCCCACGGGGCGGCTTCCTGCCTGGCCATGCTGCCACGCTGTCCTCCAGACTGGGGACTTCAGCTGCAGGAGACCTCACTTGTTGACCATGTGAGCTGAGGTTTCAGGGTGGTGTCACGGAGCTGGCTTCTAAGGCAGTGGTGTTCTTGGGGCCTTCTTGGAGCCGCTGGAGGATGGCCATTGAGCATCTAGACCCTATCCCTGCTATACTGTGACCAGGACCACAACATGAGACACCTCTAGGGGCAAGGGAAATGAACTGCTGCCTTTGAGGCTTGCTAGAAATCCAGTCCAGAGAGATAGGGCCAAGAACCCTGTCTGTCACATTCGTTATCATGGAAGCTGCTGAGACTCGGCAGGCTTCTTCATGGCTTCCTTGGTGTGAACAGTCGTGAAGGAGACAGAGAGGGGGACTGTGGGGAAGCCCCCTCTTCCTGCTCTGCCCTCCTGGAGACGGTTGCAAAATTTCCAACTGCCTCATGGCAGATGCCCAAAGCATGCTCCGCGCCCAGGCGGGGGCAGCTGCTAACAACAGCCTTGGCGCAGCTGCAGCCAGGGCAGGCGAGGGCCTGGGAGCTGGGTGCCAGGCTCCAGCTCCAGCTGGTTCCTCTCTGGCGCCTTCTGAACCCGTCTTAGCAAGTCCGCAACACCTAGGCAGAGAGGTCATTGACCAGGGGTGGTGGGTCTTATCCTCTGAATCCTGCCCAGTACCCGGGGATCCCAGTGAAATGCACTCCTGGGGAGCACAGGCACTCAAGGTACAGAGGGGATAGGGTACCCCTAACCCCAGACCCCTGAGGCCTAGTGAGGAGGGGCTGAGACACAAGCAGATAGCTCTGGTATTGTTCGTGTGTCCTTCATGGCTGGGGCTGCCACCCCACCCGGCCTGAATCTGTCTCAACCTGCAAGAACACACGGGCGGTGCCAGGCATTACCTCACAACAGGCCTGCAGTCGTTGGCTTCGCTCCTGGGCAAGGAGGAGCAGGGCCAGAGCCCCTTTTGCTTCCTTTTCCTGCCCATGCCGCCTCTCGAAGCCGGGCACAGGTTGCCAGGAGGTGACATGAAAGAGGAGGAAACTCAGTGACCTCTACCTCTCCCGAATTCCTCCCGGCGGGGGAGGACTTGTCTGCTGCTCCGAAGAACATCATGCGCTCCTGTGTGTACGAGCTGTGTGTGTGTGTGTGTGTGTGTGTGTGTGTGTGTGTGTGTGTGTGTGTGTGTGTGTGTGGTGTGTCGATGTACGTGGGTGCTGGTGTGGGAGCAGCTCCTGGTGGAGTGGGTCTACACTCTGAGATTCTTACCATTCGAGGGTCCGGGCAATAATGCACTTTGACATTTGCGTGGTGTCTTCACAACAGCACAGCAATAAACAGTGTGATGGTGTGGACATGGTGTTCCTCAGTCTGCTTGGCTTCTTCCCGGAGCTTTTCTGCCTCTCCCTGAGCCCATCTTTCACCCAAGGGAGACAAACTCAATTCCTTTTCCAGCACTGGAGGAGAGAGAGGTGATGGGTAGTGAGTTCTGACATTGCAAATTTGATACTCCCCAGGACCAGCCCGGAAGTGACTCTTGGCTGAGCCATGTTGTTTTCAGTTCGGTTTCACCTCCGTCTGAGCCTTGCAGCAAGAGTCATCAGGCAGTGGTAGGGCTTGCGCAAGCCTCATCTTGTGTGTGACTGTGTGCTGTATGACCACATCAGTCACAGTTGGGACTGATGAAAACGGGGTTTGGAGAGAGGGTCTGAAGGGATAGTGCAGAGATAAGAGTGCTTATTTAGCCTGGTGGCGGTGGTGGTGGTGGCGAACACCTTTGATCCCAGCACCTGGGAGGCAGAGGCAGGCAGATCTCTGAGTCCAGCCTGGTCTTCAGGGCGAGTTCCAGGACAGTCAGGGCTACACAGAGAAACCCTGTCTCAACAACAAAAAGTGCTTATTTAGCATGCCTAAGGCCCTTGGGTTCAATCCTTAACACTGCTTTTTATGTTAGTTTGGTGGGTGGGATTTTTTTGAGAAAGGGTCATGCGCTCAGGCTGGCTTTGAACTGGATAGCAATCCTTTGGCCGCATCCTCTTGAGTGCTGGAGTTACAGGTGTGTACCATGATGTCCAACTCCCAGCTTTAAGAAAAAAAAGGTCTGGGAATGGGTGTTCTGAGTCATCAAGGGTGCCAAGTCAGGCAATCAGACTAGAGAAGCAGGTCTTCGGCAGGGCTCCAGTGGAGCCTCGTAAAATCACCTGGAGGGGTGGGTTAACAGCTAAGAGCACACACTGCTTTTGCAGAGGACCGAAATTTGGTTCCTAGCACCAACGTGAGGCAGCTTTCAACAGCCTTTGACTCCAGCTCCAGGGGCTCTGACGTCTCGAGACTATGTGTGCACCTGCACATACTCACACATAGAGACAGACACACATTAATTAAAAAGAAATCTTAAAATACTCTTTTGAGAGTAAATCTAGGCAAGTGGTTCTTACCTTGTGGGTCAAGACCCCTTTGGAGATTGAACGACCCTTTCACAGAGGTCACCTAAGACCATCAGAAAACAGGTGTTTACGATTCATAACAATAGCAAAATTACAGTTATGAAGTAGCAATGAAAATAATTTTATGGTTGGGGTCACCACAGCAGGTGGAAGGTTGAGAGCCACTGTGGTGGGTGTCTTTTTGAGGTACCAGTGCCAAGCTGGGGAGATGGCTCAGTGGGTGGGAGAAACTGGTCACAAAGACATGAATTTGAGTTTCCCGGCACCCAGGTGAAGAAGTGAGGTCGGGCTGCACACACATCTGAAACCCCAGCACTGTGTGAAGAAGACAGGGGGCTCACCGGGGCCTCGCTCCAGGTTCAGTGAGAGACCCCTGTCTCGAGGGAGGAAGGTGGAAATCGATAGAGCAGGACTCCCAGCATCCTCCACTGGCTTCTGCACATGGGCACGCATGTGTGCCCATACACAGATAAAAGTGCCAGCGCCCAACTGGCTTCAGCAGCTTAGTCAGTATAGTGGGTGGACAGAATTGTCTGAGAGCTTTCTGGGTGATGGTGATGTGTACCCAAGATTGAAAATTACCAGGCTCAATAGTGGGAGTGAATGTCACTGCCCTGCTCTCTGTGTGTGTAGAAACTGGAGGAGGAGTCTTAAACTGAATAAAAGGGTTTTGCTTCTAGTCAGGACCATTATTAGGTAGCCTGCTTACCTAGCATGTGGGAGACCTTAGGTTCAACCCACAACACTACAAAAATGAAAAAATAGAAAAGACTATCATTTTTCTTTTCTTTTCTTTTCTTTTTTTTTTTTTTTTTTTTGAGACAAGGTCTCTCTAAGTAGTCCTGGCTGATCTGGAAGTTGCTATATAGACCAGGCTGGCCTCAAACTCATAGAGATCCTCCTGAATGTTGGGGTTAAAGGTATGCGCTACCAGCTGGGCAGTGGTGGTGCACACCTTTGATCCCAACAGAGGCAGAGGTGGGTGGATCTCTGGTGATTAGCAACACAATACATTTCCTTTGCTTCCGTTGCTTTGGGTTTTTATTTAAAATTTTTATTTTTAGTTATATGTATCTGTGGAGGGGTATGTGCACATTGAGTTGCAGTGTCCACAAAGGCCAGAGAGGGTGTTGGATGGCCTGGAGCTGGAGTTATAGGTGGTTATGAACCATTCAGTGTAAGAACTGGGAATTGAAATCAGGGCCTCTGCAAGAGAGCAGTACATGCTCTTAACTGCTGAGCTGAACCATCTCTGCAGCCCCAAAGTTTTCATCAAATATAATAACAACAATAACAACAACAACAACAAAATAATGCTTGGCACTGGCATGCTGAAGCACATCTGTATTCCCAGGACTCAAGAATCAGAGGCAAGAAGACTGCAACAAATGTGAGGCTAGCCTGGTCTACATGGGCGGCTTCTATCTCAAGAAAACAAAATCCTGCTATGGCTTGGGAATGTAACTCAGTTGGTAAAGTGCTCGAGTGCTGCAGAAGTAGGATCATCAAAAATTCAAGGTCGTCACCAGCTACATTATAAGAGTTCTTGAGGCTAGCCTGGGCTACATGAACTGAGGAAAGCGCTTGAACAAAACTAAAAAGTCACCAGATGGTGGTAGCGCATACTTTTAAATCCCAGCACTCAGGGGGCAGAGGCAGATGGATCTCTCTGAGTTCGAGGCCATCCTGGTCTACAAAGTGAGTTCCAGAACAGCCAAGGCTAAACAGAGAAACCCTGTCTCGAAAAGCCAACAACAACAACAAAAAAAAAACGAACAAAAACAAAAAACAAAAACAAAACTAAAAAGCCAGGACCAGAGAGCACATGGATACAGCTCAGAGCCCAGAAGCTCAAAGAGAAAGAAACTTGGGCTGAGAGGCCAAGATGTCATTCTCAGCTCTTGTCCCACATGCAGTTTCACCAGCCCAAACTGTTCCAACACCTGGACAGGTCTGAGCTGTGTTTTTATTAGGGGTGTGGTCACTTCAAAGTCCCACATCCACCCCAGCAGGACAGAAAAGCTAAAGAGAGCCTGGGTGGGTTGAGGCTTCAGTGAACAGCCCTGCCTACCCTAGAAGCCCTACACCCCTGCATAACATCAGTGTATACATCATGAGGAAAGACCTGCGTGGCTGTGGGGGGCGGGGGACAGTAGCCCCACAGCATCCCCACACAGACATTTAGGCAAGAAGGCAAGTTAAGCAACATCTTTTTACTCAGCAATGAGGACTCTGCCCTGAGGGAGGAGTCCCCCATGTCCCATCCCTCTCTACATTCCTAAGGGCTTGGATGAATTAACATGCGGCTTTTACCAAAGTGGACAAGGAAATAAGATGATGCCATTTGGGGTTCAAAGCTTCTCACCATCTTAAGAGAAGCACTGTGTACCCTGAGAACAACGGAAACCTTTGAGTACTGGATTCAAGGCACTCTCCCTTTGGGCTCAGTGTGGGGTCCCTGCACACAGTGCAATGAGATCTCAGAGTGCCACCTCTTTCCTGCCCACAGAGGGAGGGTGGCTGCTCAGCTTCTGTCACTAGTGGCACCTCTCTATCTGCTCAGGGGGATGACAGAAGATTCCTCGAGTCTGTGTAGAAGCTGTTTTTGTAAGTCTTCCTCTAATACCTTCCACCAAAAGTAGTTCTCGCCCCGAATCTTTGGGGGCTCATCTTGGATTCCTGGGTTCCGAAAAGCCACCGTCACTAGCACATTCAGGCAGATACCATCCATGTGGTCTTTGCCCAGGTGTTGCAGTCCAAGCAACCCCTTGGTCTCCACTGTCAAATTGTGCATAGTCAGACACTCCTGTAGCAGCCGCAGGGTGGCCACCTTGATGCCACCCCTTTGCTCCATAGGGGTGAAGCCACAGGCAGTGATGGGCAGGTGAGGTGTCCCCACTGTGCCCACCAACACCCATACTGCCTGGACTGTTGTAAAGGTGGCCACCAGCCGCTGGCAGACCACACTGCAGGGAAGCTCTTGAGGCAGAATGAGAGGGTGCATGGCTTGTTGGCAGAATTTAGCACCCAGCTCCACCAAGTGCAGAACGTCATAGGCTCTAAGTGGAGCGGGCAGAGAGACCCGTGGGTACCAGCCAGCCTGTAGGGACTCAGCATCTGCATCCTTGGAAGTCTTGAGAACTCCACCTAGCGTAGATTTGGAGGAAGAGGAGAGGGTCCGTCAATAGGAAAAGTGTTGAGTCCGAGAGAGTAAATGGCCACCCAAGCATTCCAGGGGGAAGACACCCCACCCCCATCCCGACCCAAGCTCTTAGACTGTATTAGGTCAATGGCAATTTGCAGAAGCCACAGTATGGCTGGCTAAGGAAAACAAACTGAGAAAGTGCTCGAATGCCACCAGATGGGCTGTACCTGTGGGTCGAGCAAGGAATACAAAACGGATCCAGGAGGCACCCCTCTCCTCCACAGACAGCAGTGTCACTGGTTCACAGAGCAACCCAGCCTCCTCCTTCACCTCCCGCTGCATCGCCTCCACGATGGTCTCCCCAGCTTCCATTCTCCCTGCAGGGAGGTACCAGGTTCCCCGGCACTCTCTCTTGGCTTCCTGGATCATCAACACCTCATCCTGCGAGGGAAAACAAAACACTCTTCACTCCTACCCAGCCAGTGGTGGGGCTTCAGAAAAGCAGCCCCCTAGCTGGATAGTGGCCCAAAGCTCCCTCCTTGGTAGACACCTTCAAAGATGCTGGATCCTCGGGAGCCGGACCCTGGTGTGGTTGAACGCCGCCGTGGCCGCCTCCTCTTTGCTGTAGCTCAACTTTGGATTCAGAGGGATCTCTGTTGTAGGAAAGGGCCGAGGTCCCTGGGCGTTGCTCCAAGGAGGCCCTATCCTGAAGGTTGTCACCACTCCAATACTGACTCCTATCTACGCCACTGTGTTGCTCCCT